TGGAAAGTAAGGCTTGAGTAGATCGTACCCAGATATGTCATCAACACCCCATTTTTAGTCTGTGTTATAACTGCTGCTATAACGAAATAATCAAGTTGAAGATCAGATATTGTTATTATTTAAACCTTTATTTTTTATAACCAGCGGAAGGGAGAGGACCGTGATTTGAACGTAGGTTTATGTGACCGCCATTGTTCTTGCCCTCTCTAGACCGAACTCCACAGTCAAGGCCGATAACTCGATACAGTTATCTCCCTTAGTTGGCTCCGACATAGCACTCTAGGGTCAAGGTACTTCTAGTGCGTTACATAGATCCGGCCATCTTTATCGATGGATCGTATATAGGAGTTCAATTTGGGGTCTGAAGAGAACTTGGGTCCCAACAGAAATTCATGGCAGGGAGGTGGGGCTCATTAAAAGTACAACCGTGCATCATAACTGGAAAAAATTCACCGTCGGTTTGGTGATGATGAAATGAAACGTTGCTATCTTCGTTTTGGAGATATTGAATGTTGCTGGCCAGTTCCTCAACCATTGAGCTGTGCGTGCCATGTCATCTATTCATTTTACAATGTATCTCTGCGACGTTTTTATTCCCTACTGTTTGTCAGATTCTTTAGATTTCATGCCATTACCATTTCCCTGCAGCCATTAATTGATCTTCAGCATTTTTCCTTCGATTCTCTTCCACTGTCTTCAGACAGTCACCTCTGTCGCCATATTGAGTGTAGTCGACACACAATATATCCCATAATTCTTCGAACCTCCAACTACCAATCATTGACTTGATTTCGTTTTCCGAAGTTGGAATGAGATACTTCACCCCAAAAGGAAAAATAAAAAAATTACGAAAACGTAATTGTCCTTATCTGTTTAGGCCGATAAAACGTATCTGCGCTGAAATTTTCCTGTCTTCAGTATTTCCTTTTATTCTATTTAGAGATAGACAGATAGACAGATAGCTAGCTAGCTAGCTAGCTAGCTAGATAGATAGATAGATAGATGGCATGTAACTTACGCCTAATTGCATTTAATATCAGAGTATAATTGTGTTAGATGAGATAAATGTACTGACGTATTACAACGCTTGGATAATCATTAACCAACCACGTACTTCAACTTCGTATATTTCAGGAAATAAAGCGAGATGTCTTATATCTACTATGAAAAACGACACACACAGACAAATATACACATAATATTTATATATGTAAAGATCTACTCTAAAATCCCTCGCCTCGTTTTTTAAAAAACGAATGACTAAATATACAATGGGAAAAGTGCATTTTTCTTTCTTTTTTTTTTTTTTTTAAAAGAAAAGGCTGTACGGTCCTGTTTTCTTCAGATGTCTATCTTATTCAATAACCTTTTTTTGGAATCTTTAACCGGACCCTTTAGTTACTCTACATGGGTAGATTGTTCTCATTTCACTTCCGCGCACAGGAAATGTCTCGTACTAGTGACTACTCACCAGTCTTCACGTTTGTGTCGCTTGTCTGTTTTTTCCACTAAATCTGATTTTCAGGACTGCTATCCTCCTCTAGTGATTCTCTAAACGTAGCTTATAGCCGGCACAAGTCCGTAAGTATGAGGCACCCAGTGAGGATCAAACTCACTATTCAGTCGTAATTATTCTAACGAGACAAGCTTGCTAACGATTACCCCACGCCGACGTGCTCTACCAGGCTCCTATGACATTCATCCTCAGACACATGGCCTCATGGATTAAAACGTTGATTAAAACATATAGGATCCTATCGTAATTGGACGTTCAATCCCTGAGTACACACGGCAATTGGGAATAAATTATAGTACCAAGACGCGCGAATCTATTATATCCGTCGTCTAATCTCTACATACATACCAAGAAAACATTGAAAGCAGATGACTGCCGAAGTGTTTTCTTTTCGCTTTGGTTTGTTTTACAGCATATCAATCTCAATAGGTTATTTAATGTCGACAAGAGTTTTATTGCTTGTAATATTTTTTTTCCGAAAATGTATTCCTGGCAATGCCCATTTCCTCCCAAATGCAGTGCTGGTAATATTTTTTCTTCAAAAATATTTTGTTGGCAATATTTTTCTTCAGAAATTTATCGCTGATAATAATGTATTGCAGATAGTAATTTTTCATTCAAAAACTTTATTGCTGGTATTAAAACCTATTTTTACACTTTCATAGTGTTTTAACCACAGTTTAACCATAGCTTAACTATTTACCCATAGTTGGGAGCCTAACAGTTGCTAGCATCCAGGGTCAGGGTGGACCTGGGAAGACCAGTAATTAAGAGTTGGCTCCACACTCCTCAAAACCTCCTGATCAGAGGCCTTGCTGCTGGATGTACTTTACCGTCTTACCCTGGACGCGGATGTAGTTTATCGTCTCACCCAGGATGCGTTTTCTTTTCTATCTTCAAATTACCGGCAATTTTGAATACAGGTTTTCATATATCATTGATAATATTTATAAATTTACAATCACTAATCGGTAAGCAGTGTCCAAATCATCGACTGTCCATTCTTCACAGGCACCGGAGTTCTTTTCGCTGACAATTGTATAAATCGTCTCATACTCGGATCACTACATCCCGAACACAGTTAATTACGTCAGAGATATTACTTGCCGAAACCTTAGCTTAAATTTCGGCACGATTTTTAATGTTCTTTCGTCTATTAAGAGAATTCATAACTTTCTGAGTCAAGTGTTTGCCTGTTATCACGTCTTATTGTCTGCCGATCACCATTTTTGGCAATAGCAGTTATTACGATGTGCATACCACGCACTCGAAATTATTTTTTGATGTTTGATTTTTTATTTATTGCTTTTTTATTTTTTGGTCGGGGGATCGATTTTACTTCTTTTTTTTTTTACCTATTTTTGTTATTTCTTTCTGCTGTTTTTCCTCGTTTTTCGTCGATTTGAATTTTTCATTCTTTTTTATTTCTTTAATTCTTTTTTTTATTTTGACATATTCTTCTTCATTCTCCCACATCGTTGCTTCTAAAATCTTTAACACTTCTTCTCACTCTTCTTCTTCTTCATATTATTATTATTATTGTTGTTGTTGCTGTTGTTAAGCTGTCTTAAAAGTATTTTCACTTTTTACACACCTTTAATCCAAAAATTAATTCAAGGACACATCTAATGACTATGAATATATTTTATTATAATTATTATTTTATTTGATTTCTGTTGTATGCACATGCCTTTCGGGTCCCAACCAGAGACCTAAGTTCAGAAATGGCTTCATGACATCATTATTATTATTATTATTATTATTGAGTGAGAGAGAAGCACGCTGACAAATTGACGCTGGAGTAGAAATATACAAATCCCAATATATTCATGATGGCACCCAAACTTATACGGGTATACCAGGCACATGCATCACAGCCAAATGTACCCAAGATCGTGACAAGTTTTCATAACAGGTAGGGCCCATGTACAAATGCATTCGGGTCGCTTCCGATTGAGGATGTTTCCAAGTATCGAGACGTGGCTCCCAAGTCACCTTTACTGCCTCATCCTTCAAACTCAAAAGACAATGCTATCGAGAGCCAACCATGATGCTTTGCCATCACTCCCGCTCATTAACAGATATACACAGTCCATCAGCACCAAGGGAACATACCTAGCTGGTTATGGTCAGATAACGGAAAAGCAAGTCTGTGGTACTGAAAAAAATATTTACTCTAGCCCATATTAATTCGCCAAGATAAAACATATATATGTTAAAACCTCAAATTAATAAGATTATAAGCCATGAGAGCCATTGTCTCGTTTAACATCTTGACATAAAGATCGAGGTTTGATTATATCGAACCAAGTACTGGACGCAATCTACTCACGGGCGCGATCTCACTACTGTCTCACATGGAGACATTTGTATACTGCATTCCTGACCTCTCGCCTCGTTAATCAACCTGGCCAGTTGAAGCTCCTTTAATTAATAATATTGATAAAAGGCTTAGTTTGGCCAATCGCTATGATGCTATGTACAACAGAATCCTAAAACTGAGGTCTACGCCAACATTATTGTTATTATTATTATTATTATTATTGTTATTTTTTTCATTACTGGTGTATACTAACTTCTTTCCGGGTCTCGACCAGAGACCTATGATCTGGCATTTTTCCATTGAGCAATTTTTCTTTTGAAAAAATAATATTTTTAAATAGCCCGTTTGTAAAAAACTGCTTTTTTTTTTTGAATCCTTAAGGCATGGGCTACGCCAACATTATTATTATTATTATTATTATTATTATGATTATTATTATTGTTATTTTTTCATTACTGGTTTTTTTTTGTATACTTTTCACTTTTCTTTCGGGGTCTCGACCAGAGACCTAAGGTCGAACGATTTAAATAAAAATTCATTGTGGCATTTTCCATTTGAAAAAAAAAAGTACATATTTTAAATAGCTAAAGCCGTTTGTATTGGAGTGGTCTGTACTCGTGAAACCATTTTTTTTTTTTTGTTTCTTTAAGGCATGGGCTACCAGGAATCCCTTCAATGAATCTTTTCCAATCAATCCGAAGGCTCTAACTACAACGGGAATCGTTGATGTACTCATGTGTCACATTATTGAAATTTCAATTTCAAAGTCCTTGTAATTTGATAGTTTTTTTTTTCATAGCTTTTTAATTATTATTATTATAATTATTATTAAATTCAGTAATCCTTTTTTTGTTGTTTTTTTTGGTGGGGGTTATTTTTCACTTTTCTTCATCTTCTTTGACATTCACTCTTAGAACCTTATTTGCTATTTTGTATCATAATTTTAATACAACCATTCTCGTAAAATCCTCAGCACTCTTCTCAGTAATTATTATTGCTTACTTTTAATTATTTTCTTCTTCTTATTTTTATCTTTTTTTTAATTATTTTCTTCTTCTTACTCTCAAAAGTGTCTGGTGGTTGTCACTAGGAATTAAGTTTACTTGAATTCCCAACCTTTTGCTATGTTCTTTCATTTATCCCAAGCCTGCCATAGTCTGGATGGAGCCACACCTTCCTGGAATCTCTGATTCCTGTAATCTTCTTCTTACCTTTAGGGCCATTTTTTTCTTCTTCTTAACCGTTCCTGTTCGTAAACACTTTTGCGATAATTCTTTTCTTCTTTTCTTCTTCTTAAAATTCGTTTCTTCTTCTCATTGCATTTTCCTTGTTTCATTCGATTTCGCTCTGTGAACTGCTGAAACAATTTGACACAATTTCTTTTCTTTTTCGCAACAACCAAATACATTCTTTTAAAATAAACTGGTCTGTCAGAATCGCAAAATTCCAGAGATTTTCATATTTTTAATTTTTCACGAATATCTGTTTTTATTCTTCCCTGTTCTATAATCCATGTTTTCTTTTCTTTTTCAAAACCGTTATTCTTTATCTTCTCTTATCTCATTATCAACTTTTTTTATTTCTTCATTTTTTTATTCTTTATCAACTGTTTCCTCCTTTAATTATTTTCTTCTTCTTACTCTCATTATCAACTGTTTCCTCCTTTAATTATTTTCTTCTTCCTCTTATAATTGTTTTTTTTTATTTATTTTCTTCCTTTATTTCTTGTCATTTTTTTCATCCTTTAATATTTTCTCTCCTTTTTTTTTTCTTCAGTCTCTCCTTCATCTTATTTTCTTCTTGTTTTTTTTCTTACTCTTTTTTATTTTTTCTCCTCCTTCAACTGTTTTTTTTTCTTCTTTCTTCTTCTTTGTCATTTCAACGTTTCCTCCTCAACTTTTTTTATTTTTCTTCCCCCTTTCATTCATCTTTCTTCTTCGCTCTATGAATATTATTCTTTTCGATTTTATTTTCTTTTGTTGGTGTTTCTCTTTTTCTCATCATTCTAAATTTTTATTTTTCTCTTTTTTTTTCTTCTTCTTACCCTTTCATTGTTATCATTTTATTATATTTCTTGTTGTCGTATTTTCTTTTTTTTTCCTTCATTTCTTTTCTTTTCTTTTTTCTTTTTTTCTTTTATTTTCTTTTTTTTCATTTTAACGTTTTTTTTTTTTTCTTTCCTTTCTTCTTCGCTCTATTATTTTCTTTTTCTTTTATTTTCTTTTTCAGCTTTTTTTTCTTTTTTTTTGTTATATTTATTATATAGTTGTTGTCGTATTTTCTTTTTCGCTTCCGTATTGTGCTTAATTTATCTATTTTTCTCTTTTCCTTTTTGTTCTTTTTTATTTCTTTTTTCCTTTCCCTTTCTCTTTTACACCCCTTTCTTCATTTACTTACTTTGTTTTCTTATTTCAGCCTTCTTTTCTTTTTTCTCTTTTTTCTTCCTTTTCGCTTTTCTCTTTTTCCTCCCTTTTCTCTTTTCGTTTCGCTTTCCCTTTTCTCTTTTTCCTTCACTTTCTCTTTTCGTTTCTCTTTCCCTTTTCTCTTTTTCCTCCCTTTTCTCTTTTCGTTTCTCTTTCCCTTTTCTCTTTTTCCTCCCTTTTCTCTTTTCGTTTCTCTTTCCCTTTTCTCTTTTTCCTCCCTTTTCTCTTTTCGTTTCTCTTTCCCTTTTCTCTTTTTCCTTCACTTTTTCTCTTTTCGTTTCTCTTTCCCTTTTCTTTTTCCTTTACTTTTTCTTTTTTTCTCTTTTCCCTTCCTTTTCTTTTTCCTCCTTTTTCTCTTTTTGTTTTCTTTCCTTTTCTTTTTCCTTCTTTTCTTTTCTTTCTTTTCTTTTCCTCTTTCCCTTTTCTCTTATCCCTCTCTTTCTCTTTTCGTTTCTCTTTTTGCTCACTTTTCTCTTTTCGTCTCTCTTTCTCCTTTTTTATTTTCCTCCCTTTTCTCTTTTTGTTTCTCTTTTCCCCTTTCTCTTTTCTCTTCCTTTTCTCTTTTCGTTTCTCTTTTTGCTCCTTTTTCTCTTTTCGTTTCTCTTTCCCCTTTCTCTTTTTCTCTTCTGTCGTCTCGATTTTGATTCCTTCTTTCTTTCTCTTCAAGTAATCTCTTGCATTTGTTCTATGTCTTCTCCCCCGTAAATTAAACATTTTCTTCAACAATGCCTCCCAAATGTGCGTAAATGCAATTGTGTCTAACACTTGACCTGGACAAAATATTCGACGTTATTTGAAATTGGTGAACGCGAGTGGATCTCGACTTTCTTCCGGCCGGACAGAAAAACAATAAAAGCCATTTTCTTTTCCAGAAAACGAGAAAATATATTAACCCACTAAAATCGTTGTCCCCAGCTAAAAAACTTAAGTGAATCCGAGAAACATGTTTTGAGGTAGTAAACAACCAAACAATAGACAACATTTTGTGGAGGAATTAGAGTGATAATTTGTGGATATAAATATTTAATTACAATGCATATATATATATATATATATATATATATATATATATGACTTCTTTACACTATATTATTTTCTAATTTATAAACTTTCCTTCTCTAAGATCTCCCCCCAAAACTCTCTTTCCCTTAATCTATTGCATCCTTTTATCGATGTATTTTAAAGTTATGTTTAAACACCTTTTATTCCTCTTTTAATTTTAAATAATTATTTAATTCTTCACATAACCCCAAATTAATGTCATAAGGTTAATTTTATAAAACATCTTCCATTTAAGACAAATACCTTCCACCCTCCCCTATCTCATGCCTTTCGTCTGAATGAAACATTGAAATGGATAAATTCTGGATTAGTTTATCGACTGGTTTTTGTTTCGTTTTTTTTAGATTTCACAGTTAAATTTCTATTTCTGACACGAACTCAGCCCAAACGGGTGTTGATAAGACAGACGGCTGAAATAGCCTATTCTTCATATGAGGTGATTTTGGATTTCATTATATTTTATATATATATATATATATATATATATATATAATTTCAACACCAACCAGAAATATCTCTAGAGACGCTGATCCATTGCCATAGACTGAGTCTCACGCTCAAACTTCGATTAAACGGATTTTGATAATTAGGTCGGATTACGGACTTTTCAGCACCACTTCGTGTACATCTTTTTCTTCTTCTTTGTGACATGTTCCTTCAGGTCTTGTCCGATCATGGATCTCCAAATCTTCCTGTCTTTGCTCTTACTAAATTTTTTTTTTTTTTTTTTTTTCTATCCTTCCTAATCCCTACTCGGCCAACTATTTAAGTAGCTCGCTAATTATGTTATGAACTGCTTTCTTCTGTCCCTTTTGACTCCTGTACGCCTTGGGTGTGTCAAATTTTCAAAGTAATCTATCCTCATTATGTGACCTAGAAATGGCAACTGTCGCTTTCTATCTATGTGTCGTTTTTGTTTGTTTTTTTTATTTTATTTTCGCTAAAACATTGCCGTATTTTTTTAATTTTATTTCTTAGATTTGACAATTAAATTTCTATTTCCGATACGAACACAGTGTATATCGGGGTTGATAAGACAGACAAATTATATTTTCGTTTGTCGAAATAATCTTATTCCTCATATGAAGTGATTTGAGATTTTATTGTGTATTAATTAATGTGTGTGTGTGTGTGTGTGTGTGTGTGTATTAAGAAATTGACAAAGTCCGACAATTTTATTTATTAAAGACATTTTTATGTTTAACGTTTTTTTTATAGATACAAGTATTTAAGTAAATGCTCTGTTTATATTAAACAGTATTCAGGCCGGTAAATGTTATTTAATACTGTTTATTATAAACAGAGCATTTACTTAAATAATAAAAGAACGTTGAATATAAAATGTCTTTAATAAATAATATATATATATATATATATATATATATATATATATATTCCCAAGAGAATAGAATCCAGATAGAACTCAATGTCCAGCACAGATTAAGAATATAATATAAAAAGGCTCAAACACTAATATTCCATGGTTATAATTTATTACATTGGAATCGTAACCACGATGTGATTACGATTCCAATGTAAATATATATATATATATATATATATATATATATATATATATATATATATATATATATAAGAATATATGTGTATTTACATACATTTACAGATGCATATCCATCAGTATAACATTCTGTGCATGTAGGTTGAGGTCTCTCAGATAGCTCACGAGAGTCATGCAGTTAGACATTAGTTTACAATATCCCCAATACCTGTAACGTATTGTCTGCAATGTTTCAGCTTTTTTCAGTTCCTTCTTCCGGGCATCTGACAACCGAGCAAAGAGAATCATCGAAATGGAAGATGCTTCAAATTGTTTGCTTTTCAACCGAACGGATTTCCCCAGTCACCCTCACATCCGTTACTCTTCCTTATCGCCACCCCACCCTCCGTGTCGGACATATTCAGACACCCTGTAGCTCACTGCTTTCTCCAGCCTCCGAGGGACATTTCTCCAAATAACTTTAATCATTTGCAACAGATAGGCTCGTTTTAATTGGACAATTAACCTAGCTTCGTTAACAAAATACCGTCGCTTTATCGAATTTGGCTCATAACTGACAAAATATCATACTGACTTCGAGTGACCTTCACTAATTAAACAGAATATACATTCTTGAGAAAAGCGTACAGATATCAATTTAAGACAAACATGGCATTATTGTATTCAATGCCTACTGTAGCGAGATATTTGCCAAGTTCGTCTTTCAGAACGCTTCGCAAGTGTAGCGACTTTGATTCTCACTTGGTGCCTTACTAATGAGTAAGGGTGAGAACAGCCGTTTCCCTATAAGGAAACATTCTGCATTTATTAACCGAACAGTTAGTGTTATTTTCAAGTTAAATTTATAAAACCTTTCTCTTAAAAGAGAATTTTTCATGAAAAGCCGTAATATAGCTTCCCTGTGTCTTTTCTAAAAGTAATTATTCGGATGACCTTTCCTGTATCGTAACTAGACATTATGAATTTAAGAGCAGTACTAGATTGGCGGCAAGGTCTCATCAATTTAGAGTTAAACTGGCTAGATGTAACCCTAAGTTCTATGCTAACAATTCTCATGCTTCCTAGCCAATTTTGATCTTCAAAAATTTAAATACAATGTCAATCGTTATCTACTGTCTTTTTATTCTTCTTCTTTTATTGTTCTCCCTCCTTAAAAATATTTCTTTTTTGTTTTTATTCTCTAACATTTATTAATCTCTTGTGTCTTAGTGGCTTTACTGCCTTGCTTGGGGTGAAATGGTTAAAATATAGACTTCTCAAGTCGGTTGTTATCATTCTTTCTACTATTAATAGGAGTTTCCTTCCTAACCTTTTATTTAAGTTAGTGTGGAAAGTCAACATCGTCATTATATCATCATTTTCCCTTCTAGTTACACGTGCTATTCATTTTGGTTGTTGGAACTTTTCAAGTGATGCGGTTCTTTGTGAATGTGTAGCGCCAGTCAATAAGATCTGATAAAAATGTTGTCTTTTTTTTAAGACCTACGGGATTCATTTGCTTGAAACCATTTTAATCCCAAACCTGAGGAAATTGTTGTATACAGTTGATAGTTTAGATATATCCGAACGAGATGGACAACATGCATGACATCCATAGAAGAGTCGATACCGGACCAGGCGATTTAAGAGCATGTCTCGTGCTCTTAAGTTAACATTTTCATTTTGTAGAACCTTGCCTCTAGCGCAGCTTAACCATATCTACGTACATACTTATAGTTGTCATTTGTTGTAAAGTTATGGTTAACAAGTCCTCCTCCGAAGCCAGTCCAATTCTGTCGTAAGTATTATCCAATCTCACTAAAGAGGCACTGAGGCAGCATAGCTTAGTAAATATTTCAATCTCTCACCTTGAAAGAGTAAAAGTTAAGTGAGAAACATCTGACGAGAATAGAAGAGTAAGACTTTTATACATAAAGTAAATATTTATTCAATTCTGGATTCCGTGAAATTAACGTTGATCGTAGAGAATATTTGTTTTTCTGGGACATCAAATTTTCAATCATTTTCAGAAAGATGTGAGAGACTCTCCTTTTCTCCTCTCAGGTAGGGCGCTTATATAACTTCCTGTCATCGGGTTGTATTCTGTGTGTAAATTAAATTCAGCTGAGTTGATTTCCTGCTTATGTTGGTACAGCCATCAACGTCATTTGAGGTTAGATTCTGCACTTGGTGTCTATTCATTTACATTCTAGGTTAGTCACCTCTTTTTAAGTTCTGAGGTGAGACCGACTACAAAATTTACTTTGTTATCTATTAGGGTATACCAAGTATATATTGGGGTCACCATATATCAATTCTTCTTAGATCAAGATTTCTGATTGATATTAAATTCTTTTAGAACCTCTGGTATTTCCTGGCGTTGATCACATACTACAAGACCATTACATTATAGTAGTGAATTTGAGCTTGGATAAATATTGGTCCCCCTTTATAGATGTCTGCAAGCATCCGAACCGAGGGGAGCCTCTTTTGGGGATCATACCCTTATGGAGGGGATTCTGTCGGTATATTGTTAGCTCCGCAAGTGATGTATTTGTTAATTGCTATTAGTTATTTTTAATAAAAAATCACTTAGAATCTTAGCCATTTATGCAATATTCCCCCACACACCCCAGCACCGACAGACAGTTTCAGTTCTCCCTCAGATATCCAGTTCTTTCAATCTTGCCTCAAGTAAGGTTTTGAAAATAAACGAGTTATTTATGGACACGTCTCTAAACTTACGTTCCAAACGTTTTTTCAGTTCCCCCAGGTTCGATGTCACGGTCACGTAAACAATTTATATATTTATATGTATGTGTCTCTGTGTGTGTATGAATATAATATATATATATATATATATATATATATATATATATATACACACACACATTATAAATACTTGAAGATTGTACTGAACATGAAACTCCGAGCCATTCTTTTGATATAATATGTATATTTATTAATATATACGCTATGGCTCTGTATTACAACATTGAGGACTGTTTTGTTAACACCAAAAATTAAATAATATATATACAAATTTAAATATACGCGGGATCGCATGGTTGGGTATATATATATATATATATATATATAACACATTATATATCTATGTATCTCTGAGAGAGAGAGATACATAGATATATAATGTGTGTTTCTCTCTCTCTCTCTCTCTATATATATATATATGCACTATATACATATACGTTATTTATACACTATATATATATATATATACACACACACACACTATTTATATATGTATATATACATATATATACACTATTTTTTCGTTAGCATTGTTATTATTTTCTCTTAATTTATTTCATTTTTGGCGGGACACAAATTGACATATTATCGATTATGAAGAATCGATATTTTTCACGTTCGATATGTTCATTTGTATTATTTACTTTTTCCCTTTGTGTGTTTTGCTTTCGTTATAATCGTGTTCTTTTCTCCGTCTGTTCTTTTATTCGATTATTCTATAATTCTCTCTCTCTCTCTCTCTCTCTCTCTCGAGTTCTCCTGAAATTCCGAAAGTTAGCGTAGTATGCCAAAAAAGACAAAAATAACGATACGAAGATTATGTTGCGCCAATCTATATCTATATATCGGCTAAAAATTATTTCTCTGAACTTGAACCCTGACATCTGGCACCGATGAGAAACATGTAACTATCTCAGCCAGAATAGCAATTTTAGATTTGGAATACTATTTACGGCAATGGCACTATTTTGGTGAACACACACTGACGATCAGTTTCATAGCACAAGATAATTCGTTTGCGACATAATCATTGCGCAACGAGACAGAGTCAATGTTGATTTACTAAACTCACTCCAACACACCGGCACCGTCATCGAACACTCATCGAGCATCGAATTTACAACACTTGAGACACACGTTAGTCATTACGCAACGGCAAGATTACCTTACAGCTTTTTTAGTCAGTTTTAATTTTATTTAAATGCCTGGTTTGTTTTTGGGAGGTGGGGAGTAGACTAGTAATTGGCAGTTAAAACATAGATTTCTAAGAATCAGATAAACTTTATATATATATATATATATATATATATATATATATATATAGTGAACATTGAAATCAACACTCAGAGGAGACAGGTTGTTTCATGCTAGACGCAATCGTCAAGCCTGACGATTGCGTCTAGCATGAAAAAATCTCTCTCCTCTGAGTGTTGACTTCAATGTTCACTTTTATATTTACATACTCTGTTTATGATAAACAGTATTAAATAATATTTACCGGCCTGAATGTCCGAGAAATTTTCATAGAAAATATTCGTTCTTTGACAGGATGTTATTTAATACTGTTTATCATAAACAGAGCATTTGCTTAAATACTTGTATCTATAAATAACAACGTTAAACATAAAAATGTCTTTAATAAATAAATTGTCGGACCTTGTCCATTTCTTAATATATGACGTCATTTGTTTACATTTGATACGCCAGAGCAGTTATGAATGTACGAGATTCATGGAAGATTGAAGTTTATAAGCAGTAAATTCGACCTTGTCTACCGAAAAGGTTCTTTGTGGCCCAGAGGTAAGGCACGTCAGCGTAAATGACGGTTCCGTATAGGATGCATATATATATATATATGTGTGTGTGTGTGTGTGTGTGTGTGTGTGTGTGTGTGTGTGTGTGTGTGTGTGTGTGTGTGCGAGCACCGTCACGCAAAAAGTTCTCTACTTAAAAATTAGGCAACTCTCTTAACAATGAGTCCGGCCCAAGTTTCACTGTCATTTGTATTTTGTTGCTTATTCATTGCTCGTTTACATCTGATGTCCGTCTGTAATGCATCAAGATGTACTTGTGCCAAAATATTCGTCAAGCCAGATTAACCGTATCGGATTATATTAATCCAGATTTGGATCTCGGGACTTTTCAATTCCTGCACCTTCCCGCCGGGCTGATTTTATTGGTTTCCGATAATCTGAATTGGGTAACAAATACTGGATACCCTTTCTTTTGTTCCCGTCTTTCTACTGTCAGCTACCACCTGCGTCATATATTTACCTCACTATCCTAAAGATATTTGCAAGTCGGACGTCATTTTAGAAAAGGTTTGGTGCAAAATGCAGGCACTGATCTCGGGAATGATGGTGACGGCTTTTGACTATGAATTGTGGGAAAATTCCGGTTGAGTTGAATCACCAAGAAAAAGTAGCCCTGATATGCTATCCTAATCAAGCCTCTTTGTTCGAACTTAAAAGTGAAACCTGAAGTATATGTCCGTGACGTTCTTTGATAATGTGTGAGTTATGTTGATTCACCAAGCTAAGCGTACGAAACACCACAGACCATAAGCAGCGCCTGTAATGTTGAGACAAGTCATTAGCATTCCAAAAAGTATCATGTTCTTTTTTGCTGCTAGCACGTTTTTTCAGCCTTCTTCAAGTGTTCAATCTATATGAAAGGTTTTATAATTATTTGGAATAACATAGGAAAC